AAGGATGAATGGTATAGATTAAGATGTGAGGTAAGGAAATGAAATGAAAACATAATTATGGTGATTAAAAGAAATTGGTGGAGATTGAGAAATCATTGAGATTGTGAGTGATTGAGGAGATTSWGAGTGATTGAGGAGATTGAGAGAAATTGGTGGAAATGGATTTGTGGAGATTGAAAGCRCCACWTGTCATCTTCTCATTTGTTYGATTGTTGGATSCCACGTCAGCATAAGTATGTCCTCTTGATGCCACATGTCAACTTCTAAGCGGTCCACTTGTCCATGTCACCCACCATGTAGGATTTGTCCACTTGTCCACGTCACCCGCCACGTAGAATTTTTCTCCTAACTTGTTTTGACCATAACTTCTTCGTTTAAACTCCGATTTGAGTGATTTGACAGACATTTGTTTTGTCTTTTCGAGCTCTACACTATAGACACTTTGAAACACTCAAATTGTTAGTTTATACTTTGTTTGTGATCATCAAAATATTTGGTTTGATTGAAGCCATAAAGCTAACATCTGCCTCTTCTTCATCTGTGTGACCTCCTTCATCGTCATGAACCACAATCACTCTCAACTGCTGGTTTTTACATGGTGACCTACCGTAAACTTCTCTTTGCACTTAAAACAGAGGCCCCGCTCCTTCCGCTTCTTATATTCCTCCTCCGTCAATCGCTTGTAAGTGGACTCCTTTTTTACCGCCGGCGCCGGTTGATTCGCCGTGATTGTGTTCGTCTTACTAGCTAGGGTAACCGTACAGGTAGGGACAGATTCTCCCGCTTTGGCCATCGCCTTTCCTCCCACCGTTGTGAGTTTCGCACTTCGATCTGAAACCCCCTCCCCAGTTCTAGGCCCACGGGTTCTGTAGCCAACACCTCTGCTCGGACCACCGGGTCGAGCCCGTTCAAGAAAGCGCACTTTTAACACCTTATCAGAAAGGTGTGGAAGGGGTGCCGACAGAGCTTCGAACGTTTCAATATACTCGGCCACTGTTCCTTCTTGCTTGATCGCTAACACCCACGCGCATTGTCGTCCCTCCTTTGCCTTCCGGAATCGTTCCAATAGCCGACTCCTCAAATTTTCCCAACTAGTAAATCGCCTATGCTTTTCATGGTAGCGATACCAAGCCAATGCGACACCGTCAAAACTTATGACAGATACAATATGTTTCTCTTCATCAGTCAGTTTATGGATTTCAAAATATTGCTCTGCTCGAAACAACCAAGAGTCGGGATCCAAGCCTGTGAAGATAGGCATCTCAACCTTCTTGAACTTGTTGCGATCATACCCGGGTTCCTGAATCTGAACGATCCTCGTCGGATCATCCGGTTGCTTGTTCTTTTGCAACGATGACTCCCCCAACTGCAAAATCGAAGATGTAGTTCCACCGGTGACATCGACTATGAAGCTTTCCAACATCATCTGGATTCTGGTACTCGTCTTCTGTTGCTCATCCACCTTCCCACACAGGGCCGCGACAACACCTTTGAGATCGACAATCTCCCGCTCTGTTGCTTCACATCTGGTCTCAAGCTCTTTCACAGTCATCTTCTCTCCAAATTCTCAGCACCATACTTCTCTGATACCAATTTGTGAGGTATTATACTCACTTTTGGAATGTATATTCAAAGAAACAAGCCCGAAGGCGTTACAAGCACCCCACCAATTCGAGAGGGTGGGTGTTCTCTCCAAAACTGCTACTGAGCACTCATTTCCAAGATGCGCTCCCCTCAGCCGGAATCGCTAGTAATCGCCGGTCAGCCATACGGTAGTGAATTCGCTTCCAGACCTTTTTTACTCCCCTACTATTCTATTTGTGGGCCCCACTCTCCCAAAACCGTTATTTCTTTCCCTTTGTACAAGTTACTCGATTGCCCCTAAACAATCCCCTTTCTACCCCTCCTATAATATGTTTTCTCAATCGGAGGCCTAACATGTATATATATATACACGTATCGTTCCAATTTTATCGGATGTTCTTGAAGGGACTATACATATTTCAATAACAGTGAGATTTTAGGCTTGAACTGCTTGGCTTTGCCATTATGAGTGATGGTATCTTCAAAAAAAATAGTATGACTGCACTCTGACGTTTCCTTTTTATCCTTCAGTTAAGAGTAGAAGATATATTAATTAGAGGAATTAAATGGAACAAGCTGATTGATCCTGAGAAGAAGGGGCAGTGGTGGTTATCTGGGGATATGGGTTATATGACAACGACATCAAAAAACGTTTCGGAGTTCGCTAGCACAATTGATAAAGAGGTTGTTGAAGCTCAGAAAATGCTTCAGCTTGCAGCTGCACAGAGAATGAATACAGATGCTAGGAAGGCAATATTTTGTATTATAATGAGTGGAGAGGACTATGTTGATGCATTTGAGAAGCTACTAAGATTGGATTTACCAGGAATGCAGGTTGGTGGAATTTTTCTTCACTTTGTACCTTAATTTTCAATTTACATTTTTTCGTAGACTCCGATCTTTCAATTTTGTGTCTAAGAAGTCTCTGAATTTTAAAAATTTACTAATAAGTTAGGGACCTATTAGATATTTTCAAAAGTTCAAAAACTATACTTGTAATTTAACTCAAAAAATGTTCTTTCATTCTACTGACACCATCTTCCATATGGTCTACAGGACAGGGAGATCATGAGGGTGGTTGTGGAGTGCTGTTTACAGGAGAAAGTGTTTAATAAGTACTACACAATTTTAGCTTCCAAATTGTGTGCGCATGATAAAAACCACAAGTTTACATTACAGGTAAATATATTCCCTTTCCTTTTTTCCTCTGCTATACACTCTTTTGGTTAGTCGAATTTCGATACTGTATACTACCGCCTTTTGACTATCTCTCACTTCATCATCACAGTATTGCCTGTGGGATCACTTCAAAGAACTGGAAACGATGCAGCTTATTAGGTCGATGAATCTTGCAAAATTCATCGTTGAGATGATCGCTTCTTTTACTCTGTCCCTTGCGGTTTTGAAATCTGTAGATTTGAGTGATGTCAGGCTGCTTACTCCAAAGAGAATCATGCATTTTCGTATGCTGTTCGATGAAATTTTTGAACGTCCTGACAAATTGGTATGGAACGTATTCACTCGAGTTGCTGTTAACCCCGAGCTCGAACCTCTTCGAAGTGGTATGCTATTCTTCATTAGAGGGTACATGATTAAAACTAATAAAGTTAATGCAAAAAAATTTCAGCTTGTCAAGAAAGCACTTAACAATGTGGAGGGAGTTCTTATGTAAGTCTTGGGTTGATATCAAGTTTTTCAAAATTTTATTTTTGATCGACTTATAGAATGCAGGCACATTGTACACAAACTTGTCAAAGCTATGTCAAATTCCAAATGATTTAAAATTTTTGAATCTTATTCTTGTCCTTTGAACTTAGATTCTCCCTGGCTAGCCTGAGAGAGTTTACTTGTTTAAGCTTTTAGCACATCTCAAGTAAGTGTGCAAGTTCGTTTTCCATGATCGGTTATGATTATTTATTGATATTAATATTTTGTTTTGAACTTTACTAATTGAGATTGTTGATATTAATATTTATTTTCCTAAGTGAACACTTGAAAATTCATCAATATTTATTTCGATCAACGGAGGTATGTTTTTTTATGGGATGTGATTATCAAGTTTGAAATGATTCTATAATTTTTAAATACCATTAAAGGGTAGGGAAAAATTCATTCACATTCCTTAATTCCCATTCCCTTTGAAGTAAACATGCCTTATTGTTATATATTGATGAATTATTATTATTATTATTATTATTATTATTATATATTTCAATTTTTAAAAAATGAAAAATTATATTTTGTTGAAATAAATATTGTAAATTTTGAAAAAGGAAAAACATAATAGAATTCATGATTCTATGTATTTTTTTTTATAGAAAATATTATAAATTCACATATTTAAATTCTAATTTTTTATAATTAATTTTTTCTCCAACACTTTTAAATGGTAAAACCATTATCCTACTGTTTTGAATCTAAAAGACATGATCTAATTGTTGCCGATAATTTCAAGGTCTATTTTTTTCAATTTGTTTGTAATATTTTTTCTATATATTGTTGTATAAATATTATATATTTTTTTTCTATAAATCATAAAAAACTCTGGTTGCTCTTATTTGATTTAATTTTTAATTTGAATTTTGCTTAGACCAGAAAGTCAACAAAATGATTTAAAAACTCTTTTTGTATATAAACTTTAATTTTATATAATTTTTTTTGTTTTTTTTTTTCATTTAAAGTAAATAATTTGGACTTCTATATCTTATAAAATTAGATTGTAGGCCATATTTTAAAAAAATTAATTTAAATATATTCTTTTAAAGTATTATAAGTATAAGTAAATTATCTTTCTAAGTTTCATTCCGTTCTTTTAACTTTTATAAAAAATTTTGTAAATTATGAATTTTACCTTATAAACTTTTAGAGATATGTTTGGTAGGTTTCAAAACTTTAAAAAATGTCTAATAGGTTTTCAAACTTTTAATTTTAAATGCAAAGTTGTGTGAAGTTTTAAATTTTTTTTTTAATATATTCCTCACCTATTAAAACTATTTTTAAAGTTCAAGAGCTTTAACATATACCAAAATAAAAGTTCATAGATTTATTTGATAATTTTTAAGGTTTAAGGGCCTACTAGATACAAATTTGAAAGTTAAAAACAAACTTGTAATTTACACAAATTAATATCAAAACATATAAAATAGTGTATATATAAATGGGAAAAATATATTTTTGGTACTTGAGGTTTGAGGTAGATGTCTATTTGATCTTTATAGTTTTAAAATGGACACTTTTGATCTCTAAAGTTTGGAGTAGGTGTTTATTTGATCTCTGAAATTCTAAAATGTTCACATTTAGTTCCTGAAGTTTGAGAAATGGTTACAAATAATCCCATACTATTTATGGTCCACTAATATTAAAATAACATGGGATTTAAATTGACGACTGTATTTTGGTAAAGATAAATTTAATAATTTTTTTAATTACTGGATTTTTCATTATCAAATTATATCCTTCCAATCACTTTATTCTTCTCCCCCTCGTTCAATTTAGTTTTTGCCAACACTGCCCTTGCCGTTCACACCAATCTCTACTTGTTTTCTCTCCATCCATAACATATTTTTCCCTCTCTGTAATTTATTTAAGCCTCCCTACCTTAAAGTTCTGGATCCACCACTGGTCCCCAGACACCCTTTTTTTATTTATCTCTTCTCTTTTTCTTCTTATCTTTCCAAATATTGTCTCAACTTTTATGAACTTTACTTTTTGTTCAAATATTTTTCTCTAAAAATTGTATTTATCTGTCTTAATCCTTTCTTGATTTTTCTTTTATTAGTTCTTATAATTTTTTCCTCAACTCATCCAAATTCCTTGCAATTTTATCGTTCAAATACAAATCTCTCCCTCCCATCTTCATTCTCTCTTGGAATTGCTCTCTCTCCTCTACATTTCCCTCCTACTCTCTCTCAACTATTTTGTCCATAATTTTCCTCCATCTCCCTCCACGAAGTATTAAATTATGAAAATAAGGAGTTACTTATTGAGTAAAAATGAAGGATTAATTAGTTATTGTGTACTACAAAAATTATTTTTATTATTTAATAACGCATGTAAAGGATTAGAATATGTAAAGTTTCTTCTCTTTATTTCTATAAATTAATTCAAAAAAGCCATAATAATTCTTAATTATGATTAATGAGGAATTTTCAAAAGTTTTAATTATTTTTATTTTTTAATACTATTGCTGAATGCTAAAATTTGGTCAATAATTAAATACCACGTCATCAATTTAAAATTATATTTAGGACCAATCCTAAATTTACACGTGTTCTAAATTAATTTTAAAATCGACGAATCAAATTATGCTACGTGCCTATTTTATGGCCGTTCGATGAAATCAACTAATTGGACCAAATTTACAAGGAGATTGGGCTCAAGCCCATGGTCCATTAAGCCCATGACCCATATAAACCCACAAAAGCTCTATAAATAGAGGGGGTCACCACTCATTTAGGGGATTGAAAAAAAATCAGAAGCATTAGAGATTCAAAGCCTTCGGAGCTTCACAGTCATCTATAACCGTTTAAAGTGCAAAGCATCCAGAACCAACAACACTATAAGAACGAAATACTTCAAGAATTCTGAATCTTCTCTTCACCAAGCAACCGATCGAAGAACTTCACAAGCTACAAGCCGAAGACTTCACAAGTCGAATACCTCAGCCGAAGTACTTCATCAAGCTGCAAACTTCGCCAAACATCAAGCTTCGCAGCCGAAGACTTTAATGATTTTTCAATACGCCAGAAGCTGAAGACACAAACTCATTGATTCGAGATTAAGCTCACAAGCCCTCGAATTGAAGTCCACGTCCGAGAGAATTAATCAGGAGATTATAATTAGAGATTGTAACACTACATTCATTTAATACAAATACAAGTTCATTAATTCAAGTTTATCTTCGTTGAATTTCTCGTCGAACAATTTGGCACACCTAATGGGACATCTTTACCTCTCATCTCTTTATCTCAACTAAAAAGGAAAAGCAATGGCATTCAAGGAAGCTGCATCAAATATTGTTGCTTCAAGTAACTCTTACTTGGGTCCAATGACTCACAATCGCGCCAAGGAGATGATGGATGCCCTGTTCAATTCAAGTTCAGAGAGTGAATTCCCTCCTCTCTCTACCCTTTGCAAAGGAGCATCTAATTCGAATATCATGTACCCTGTCATGATGGCTGATGCATCCACCATGGGAGGAACAATGGCGGATATGGAGAAGAAACTCAACATGATAACGAAGATGGTCGAAGAAAGGGACTATAAGATAGCTTCCCTAATGAACAAGATTGAAATTCAGGATGTTGCTGAATCAAACCAAAATCTCACCATGAAAGTTAGCCACCAAAGAAAGACCGTCATGCAAGAAGAACAACAGGAACATTATGTTTCCATTGCTTCACTGTCTGTCCAACAACTCCAATATACGATCATAAATTCCAGAGTTCAGTATGGTGGACCTTCTCAAAATTCTCTCATGTACTTGAAGCTATACACCAAGAGGATTGAGAACTTGAGAATGCCAATGGGATACCAACCTCCAAAGTTCCAACAATTTGACGGAAAAGGTAATCCTGAACAACACATTGCTCATTTCGTCGAAACATGTGAAAATGCTGGCACTCATGGAGATCTACTAGTCAAACAATTCGTTCGAACACTGAAGGGAAATGCTTTTGACTGGTACACAGATCTGGAGCCTGAATCCATCAACAACTAGGAGCAATTGGAAAGAGAGTTCCTAAATCGCTTCTACAGCATGAGGAGAACTGTTAGCATGATAGAACTAACCAGCACCAAGCAAAGATAAGGTGAACTTGTTGTTGACTATATTAACATGTGGAGAGCTTTGAGTCTCGACTATAATGACCGATTGATTGAAGTGTCTGCAGTAGAAATGTGCACCTAGGGCATGCATTGGGGACTTCTCTACATTCTCCAAGGTATAAAACCCCGAAGCTTTGAAGAAGTAGCGACTCGCGTTCATGATATAGAGCTAAGTATTGCTAGTAAAGGAAATAGAGACCATTTAGTCCTAGACCTCAAGAAGGAAAAAAAGAAGTAAAGAACCTTGATAAAGGTTCTAAGGGTTCCAAAAAAGAATCCATGGTCGTTAACATGACTCCAGTTCAGTGTAAAAGGAAGAAACTTCAATGATAAGAAAGATGAAAGACAAATGGTTGGGAATGAGAAATGACGCCCAACTCTGAGAGAGAGACAAGAAAAGGTCTAACCTTTTTCCGATTATGGTATTCCAGACATGTTGCAGCAATTACTGGAGAACCATCGGGTTATTAGCCATCCACTGGAGAAATGATTCGTCTTGAAAGAGTTAATCTTGAAATTAGGTCAAGAAAGAAAGATTGAGCTTGATCTTGACGAAGTAGTTCAATTAAACCATATTGCAGTAAACCCCAACAATCATGTGACTCACAATCAAAAGGTGAGTTTGATCCAATTCGGAACTCGAGAGCCTGTAGCAATTTGGTTGCAACACGAGATGGTGAGAAGAGCTCCTCGAGATGAGACTAAACTCACAGTTGATGAAGAAGAAGGATGGATCCTTGTGACTCGTCGAAAGAAGCAGAAATAATGTTTCATTTAGAAAGAGTATTGATTGTTTGAAAACTACAAAAGAAATAACAGACCTAAAAAGAAAAAGGTAAAGAAAAGTGCGAGAAAACCAAGGCCTGTCATGGAAGAGAGTGAAGATCTTCACCAACCTCGCCAGAAAGTAACTCTATAGGAATTCTTCCCGAAGAACTTCATTCATGACGAACAAGAAGTTCATGAAATTG